CCCCCGCCGCAGCAGGCGCCGCTGCGGGCGCCGCCGCGGGCGGCGCCGCCGCGGCTGCGCCGCCGCCGCGCCGCTTGGCGGCCGCGCCCTTGCTGCCACCCGCGGCCGCTTTCGCGGCGACCAGTCGTGCCAAAAAATCGTCCTCCTCCTCCTCTTCCTCCTCACCTTCCTCCTCTTCATCAGCCTCGTCCCCACCCGCTCCCTCGGACGACCCCTCCTCCGCCTCCGCCTCCTCTTCCTTTTCCTCCTCCTCCTCCATCCCAGAGCCAGATGCTGCCGTGGCCGCTGCTGCCGCCGAGCCATCGTCCTGGTCGCTCTCTCCGCCTTCACCGCTGCTGCCATCCTCCACCGCCTCGTCGGCCGGCTGCTGCTGCTGCTGCTGCTGCTGCTGCTGCTGCTGCTGCTGCTGCTGCTGCTGCTGCTGCTGCTGCTGCTGCTGCTTGCGCCGCCCCTTCTTCTGCCGCTGCTTCTGCCACTGCGCCGCCCAGCTAGCCGCCGCCGCCGCCTCATCCTCCCCCTCGCCACCCTGCTCCTCCTCCTCCTGCACTTCCGCCCCATCCTCCTTGCCGCCCCCTCGCTGCTTCCCCTCGCCACCGCTGCCGCTGGCGCCTGCCTCCTCCCCCTCCCCCTCCGCCTCCTCGTGCCGCCTCTGCTGCTGCTGCTGCTGCCGCCGCTTTTTCTTCTGCTTCTTGCCCCTGCCGCCACCGCCGCCGCCGCCTCCTGCCTCCTCCTCGCCCTCCTCCTTCGCCCCAACCCCTTCACCACCAGCACCATCAGCACCACCAGCGCCGCTGCCGCCGCCGTTCAACAGCAGATCTGCCTCCTCGTCTTCCAGCAGCTCCCGCAGCGACGCCAGCGCCTCCAGATGCTTCTTCGACCGCTCGTGGCTGGCCAGCTGCCCGGCGGATCTGAAGACCTTCTCGCAGGCCACACAGTAGAATTCGGGCAGGTCCTCCTCCTCCGACTCGCTCTCGTCCTGGGTTTGGTGAATAGGAGGTTTCGGCAGGGTGAAATGCAACAGCTGCGGGGCAATGACAGTGGGCTGGGGCCAACTGGTTGGTATTTTTTAGTCGGGCTCATTGGCTGAGCGCGGCACAGCCTCTGAGCGGGACGTATTTGGCTGCCGTGGCCTGTAGTGCCAAGTCAGCGTTGTGAGGGGTTGGGGCTGTATCTGTGAGTGCGGTGGTCAGGCGCGGCTGGTCGAGAGGCCCTGCAAGTGGTGAGATCGAGGCAGGAAAAGCTTCACCCTCAGAGCCGCTCAACAGACCTCCGGGCTGAAGCGCACGCATCATCGAGCCACCGGCTGACCCATACCTCAGGCCTGCTCGAGCCCTGGGCTCCAGCAGACCGGGGCGCCGCCGCCACGGGCAAGAGTCCAGACTCACGAGCCGTCCTGCTTAGCACCCGGGCCAGCGCAGGCAGTAGGCCGCTGCCTCCGCCTGGGGGCCACCCCATAAACACTTCAATGCACACACGGTCAATCCATCACCCGAAAAACTGCAAACGAATGAACCAGCCTCCTCAAATCGAGGAACAACCCGCAGCCAGTCCCGCGCGGGCTCTCACCTCTGCCGCCGCCTCGCTCTGCCGCACCCACTCGGGCTCCTTGTACGCCGCCGCCGCAGCCAGCCGCGCCGCTTTCTCTTCCTCGCGCTTCGCCGCCGCCGCAGCCTCGCGCTCGGCGCGCTTCGCCGCCTCCTCGGCCTGGAGCGATTCAATGGTGGTTATCGTCAGGTTGTGGCAGTTTTCAGCGACAGTCGGCTGTTGCGGCCGTTTCCAGCGGTTTTGCCGTTTTCGGCAGTGTTTGGTATAAAGGGGGCAGGACGAAGGCGTAGACAGCGTGGGAAGACCACACTGCAGGGCAGCCGTGTGTGCAAGGTGTGCGGCCGCATGCTCGGCGCAATGCCATGCTGCAGGCCGTGCAACAGGCTGTGCGTGTGATCATGTGGCAAGTATGGGGAGCGTCCGCCAAGCAGCGGCTGGGCCCCAGAAATTGCGCCGCCAAGAAGCCATGTGAAAAGCCTATCAGACATGTCAATCCCACCAAAACGCCGAGCCAAAAGCCGCAAAGAAGCTCGACTATCAGCCTCCCACCTGGAACTTGGCGAGGCGCCTGTCCCTCTTCCGCACGAACGCCGCCAGCTCGCGCACTGTGTCGACGTACTCGCGCTTCGCCGCGCGGCGCGTCTTCTTGTTCTCCTCCTCCATCTTGCGGCGGATCTGATGTGTGGAAATTAGATTAACAGAATGTTGTGTGGAGATTGGATGGAATAAGTGATATGTGTAGATTGGAGGAAGGCTGGACGTGTGGGGATTGAAGAGACATCGGGTTTGTGGAGATGAGAGACAAGTCTTATGTCAACATTGCATAGGTGGGGATTGAAGAGGTACCGACTGGTTATATGATGCCAGCCGGCCTGAGACTGAAAAAGCTGTGGGGGTCTGACTCCGCCAATGATTATAGCAAGCTGGCTTGACGAGCGTGACATGGGGGTTGCTGATCGCAGCACGAGGCGGCGGTTGCAGCGCCTGCACTCTCTGTGAGTACAAATGTGTCTCGAAGTGCGACCCTGCGGCGGAGTCTGAGACCTAAAACGCCACCCATATCACTGTCTGCTGTCGCCGCAGCCGCAGCCGGGCGCAGCCGTGTTGAACAACGCGGCAGCAGCCCGCCCATGATGAAGCCATGCGCACACCCCTGAGGCACATCGCGATTTTCTTCCTTGCAAATTCTCAGGCAGCGCCCACCTGGCGGTTGTCGGCGGTGGCTGGGTTGTACTGGTCCGCCCACGCAAAGTCCTGGGGTTGGCGGTGACATGAACACCCACAAAAAGTCAGCAGGGGGCGTTGGGGCTTTTGGCGGCCAGCAGACGACACAAATTCGACAAGGTAGTGCAGAGCAGGATCCCGGCCTGCAAACACATGCAGATTGCTGGACATCTGTTATGGCTGAAAAGTCCCCCGCGGCACCCCAGCGGGCCCACCTTGTATGAAGTGAAGTTTGACCAGAAAGCATAGAACGCATATACCTCCGGGCCGCCTGCGGGCGTGGGGGGAAACGATGCATTGAAGCTGTTCTTCAGGCGCTATGTGCCAGTCGAATTGAGCGATTTACGCGATGCGTGCAGGGGCGGGATCGCGACCGTGGATGTCGCTCCTCAGGCAAGCCGGGGATGCAATGCAATGAGGGAGGAGCCAGGGGCTGGCGCCGAGGGTTGAGCACGCATGGGCGGGGGAAGCCCTCATTCATGGGCGGCGCACCTGAGGAGGCGGTGCCGAACGCAGGGAAGGCCGGCGGGCTGCGGCCGGCGCGGGAGTCGTCCGCCTTGAAGGCGGCCGCCTCCTTTTCTGCCAGCTTTGAGAATATGGCGGAGTAGACTGCGTAGAAGCCCTGCAAAAAAATGAGTGCAATTTGGTTGGGAGGCCATCCTAGTTGCCTGTTCTGCCGTCGTGACCATGACGATGGATCCCACAAATGGGTGCGATGAGTCAATCTGGATCAGCCGGGGAGCTGCTGGACCTGAGTTTTGACCAAAATGGTGCCACTCCTGACGACCTACCGCCAAAGTAACCCCTTCAACGGCCCGACAAAAAGCATATGGAATTGTAAAGCCCTTAACCCTTGAAAACCTTGACACAAAAGCGCGTCCTTAGAGCCACCAACCCACCTTGGCATCGTCCCCAAAGCCGCTGTAGCAGGCGCTGCTGAAGTGGCTGAACAGCTCCTCCTCCTCCTCGGGCCGCTCCCCACCCTCAAAACCGCCGTCCCCGCCGGCCTGGTGGCGCACGCCGCTGCGGAGGATCTGGTCGCGGTGGGAGTCGTACCTGCGTCGCAGAAGGGTGGGCGGTTAGGGGCGGCTCGTGGTGGTTGTGGGCGTTTGTGGGTGCTGGGGGCGCAGCGGGCTCAGTAGTGTGCGTAAGCAGTATTGGAGAGGTGACCTTAGTGGCATTCAGGAGTTGGACACATTCCTTGTGTGCTGCTGCCCACAATGTCGTCCCATACTAATGGAACCCCAACCAATTGAGGCCAGTATGACGGTGGAGCGCCGGCTGGCCCGGCTGGTGGCCAACTGCTGCTATCGCACAAGCATAAGCCCCGACGGGTTCGCCCGGCTGCCCTGAATCACCCAGGCCCCTCGCCCGGCGCCGCCGCCGCTCGCGCCGCGGGAGCGGCCGTGGCAGGCGAGGGCGCGGGCGATCAGCCTGTGACGCGCGCTGCTCGACCGCCGACGCCGCCGACGCCACTGTACCGCTGCTGCACCGCCACCACCGCGCGTCACCAAATAGCAGGACCACAGCCTGCTGCAACATGGGCCCCCCGAGGCGAGGAGCAGAACCACTGCCTTGGCCCACTCTCGTGTTCCGCGGCGACGACGGCGGCGGCGGCCGTGCGGCCGCCCTCTCCCCGCTCACCAGGCGCGCTCGTGTTTGTCTGACAGCACTTCATAAGCGTTAGAAATCTCCTGGAACCGCTCGTGCGCCTCCTCGGCCCGATGCGCGTTCTTGTCTGCGTGCAGCCGAGGGGGGCGCCGGGCGGGCGCAGCGGGTGAGCGGCGCCGAGCGATGCGTGGCGAGGTGGCGCATGCGCGACGCCGCGCCGCGGCGAGCGGCGGCAGCTGGGCCTGATCGGGGGCCGCGGCGCACATGTTCTGCTGCAGAGGCGGCGGCTGCTGTAGCGGAGCAAGCAGCAGCGGCAGGCTGACGCTGGAGCATCGACTCATCCACAGCGCAACTCGTCAGCGGGACGAGGCAGCTCGAGCTGCACACGCAGCACGCCAAAGCCGCGGCGGGTTTCTTATACGGGCTGTCACGACGCAGGCATCGTTGGGCCCATGCAGAAGCACTCTGCGGCCGCCTTGCGCCGGCCGCTTGGGTGGTGCAGCGACAGCGCGTGCACGCACGGCTGCTGCTTTCACACGTCTGAATCGGCCGCCGCGCACCTGGGTGCCAGATGAGCGCCTGCTTGCGGTATGCCTTCTTCAAGACATCATCGTCCGCGTCGCGCTCCACGCCAAGGATCTCGTACAGGCACCGCCCCATGATGGCGCGGGCCGAAGTGTTGAGCCGATCGTGGATCGGCGGGTTTCAAACAATGCTGGAGGGCATTAAATACACCGCAGTGACAGCAGTAATCATAGCTTGCAGTTGCTGTGCATGGACCCTACGGCAATCGCACACTAGAGAGGAGCGGCGGGTGACTGCACGGGTCGCCCCTCTCAAATCTGCCCGCAGGATGGCTGATGCAAATCTGCCACCCGCGCCAGTCTGAGTCTGGGTCATAAACCACTCTCACTGGCACAAACACTTCCGCATGACAGCGTCAGCTCAGCATCACGCTGCCTTTGCGGCCATCCATTGCGTGAGACTGTTCAGGTCTTGGCACCGCACCATGGACCACCGGCCCAGCTGCTGATCACACCGCAGAGCGCCTGCATGCCTCGCGGATTCGCCCCTGTCGCCACCGCGCCGGCAGCGTCCTCATCCTCTGCAGAGACGCCCTCGCCTGCTGGCGCGCCTCCGAAAATGCAAAATCGAGTTGAATCTGATCACCGTGAATGACTTCAGTCGCCGCAATGGCTGGAAGGAGCCCGGGAGGCGCTTGGGGGCAAGCAGTGTCAGACCTCTCGCCCAGTCGCATCGGGGCTGATAGTTGCAGGTCCTGGTCAATGGTGGCTCACTCTGCTGAGGTGGCGCGCCACCTCTGTCCATGCCCCATACAGCTACGCAGTGGGATGAGCAAAGGTTGATGAAAGGATGCATGCAAGGACCACTCTCGCTCCTCGGTCGCTGCCCTGGCTGAAGGGCACTCCCTGCTCTGGGCACCAGCCACACGCTGTCACGCTCCGCCACCGGGCGAGTGAGGCTGCACCTGCGTGCCAGCTGCCCGCCGCGCCACTTGCTGCACTGGCCCCTGACTACACGGGTATCGCAACGAGATAGTGAATCACTCTTTCTGATTCTGATTTCGTCTGCCGCGTGCGCTGAGAGGTCGTTAAGATCAGCTCGAGCTCAGCCTGATCTCCCGCAGCAGCAGGGTCCCGCGGGCAGCCCGCAGTGGATCACGGGAGCCGGATCATCATGAGGACGATGCAGATATGTCTGCTGGCCGCAGTGCTGGCGCTGGTGGTGCCCGGTGCGCGAGGCAGCAGTCGGGGCCGACAATGGCGCAGCTGTGCTGCTTTCGCTAGCCTGGATGGAGATCAGTGCCTAATAATAAACGCCTGAAACACCGCCTCGCAGGCTCTACGGCCCAGCGTCCCGGCGACCTGCTCGGCAACCTGCCCCCGGCTGGGGAGCTCAGCGTAGCACACTACTTTCCTGAGCATCCCGACAAGCAGTTCCCCGCTGGTGACATCGTGAGCCTCTCGCGTTGCACTGCACACACGATCGCACATTTGCAGTGCGCGGCGCACCCGCACCGCCATTGCTAGTTCCCGCCCTCTGCGCCTTGTGCTTCAGCGTGCACGCTTTCCCCATGCGCTTGCCACACGCATGCGCGCTGTGCCCCCTTCTCCAAGATCGCCGCCCTGACTGATCGCCCACCCCTCAGATCAGCGTTGTTGTCAGCGGCCACAACACCGGCGCCAAGCCCATGAACCTCTCGGCGATCGTCGGCTCGATCAACTCGCCCGAGAAGTATGAGATGTTCATCCAGAACTTTACCATCGGGGTGAGCAGCGGGCGGGGCGGCCGCGGCCGCGACCGGGTCCTCCGCACGGGCGTGCAGCTGAAGGAAGCGTGGGGATGGCCGCGGCGCGCGACACAACACGTGCAGCGGGGCAACACGCCAGCGCGACACGGGGGAGGCAGCAGGGGCCACGGGTGCGGCACGGGTTTGGCGGGCAGGGATAGCGCGGGGCCACGCAGCCGCCGCGAAGCTGTTAGAGGAAGGGGATGGGGGGCGGCGGCGGCTGAACAGGCAGAGCTGTCCTGGGCTCGAGGAGCGCGGTTTTGGCCGAGCTGGCGTGAGGGCTTCGCGGGCGGCTGCAGCCCAGCAGCGCTGGCAGGAATGCCAGCAGGCCGTCTCAGGGGCGGTCACGGGCGCGACGCGGCGCCGGCGGCGGGCACCGCCCTCGGTCTCGGCCGCCCTCACGTCGCCGCCCGTCGCCCCGCGCCGCCGCAGCGCTACTTTGCGCCCCTGGCCCCCGGGGCGGAGGCTTCCATCGAGTACAAGTTCAGGGCCGACCCCATCCTGGGCAGCACGCCCGCGCGGGAGTTCATCGTGGCGCTGCACCTGTTCTACGAGGTGGGGGGGGGGGGGTGGGGGCGAGGGGTTTTTGGGCGGAGTGCCTGTGTGGACAAGGGTGTGTGATTTTCCGTGGGTAGGTGCGGATGGGAATTATTTCACTGTGTTTGTGCTGGTGGAACAATATATGTGTGTGTGTGTGTGTGTGTGTGAGTGTGTGTGTGTGGTAAGTGTGGTACGTGTGGATGTGCCGCCTGTGCAGGTGCGGGCTGGCCGCTGACTTGGTCCAGAGCTTGCACAATTCCCGCTGTGTGGGTTTCGACGTAAGGCATCCCACCGCACAAGGCCAGCGCGGGCATTGTTCCCGAGGTATCTTGCCCCGAGGCGGCGCCCCAGCTTTCCGTATTGGCCGTTGAAGCAGGCGGCTGACCGATTTCAAACAATGCGCATCTCCCGGCCTGCTGGCAGGTGGAGGGGTCCTACTTTAGCACCACCTTCTTCAACCAGACCGTCGACATCACAGAGGCACCCAAGGTGGGGGGTGCCCGCGGCTGTTGTCTTTTTCTTGGTGCACACCGGTCGGCAGCATCGCATGCAGCGGCTGCGCGATGTGGACGAGAGCGTAGGTGGTGTGATCGGGTGCGTCAGGCCCGGTTGCGTGCGGCGGCTGCGGGGTTGCTGCCAGCGGTGGCTGCGGAGCAGAGCCCGGCCCACCACGCTGTGGGCACCCAAGGTGTGGAATGACGAGTGTGTCTCAGCGCTTGCGCGCTCATACACACACACACACACACACACACACACACACACACACAGCTCGTGGACACGGACTTGATCTGGCTGGTGGGGACGCTGCTCGCCGGCCTGGGCGCCGCTGGTGAGCAGATCCGGGAGGCCAGGTCTCCAGGCAGCTTCGCCGCTTGCTCTACCGGCTATCAATCTGGCCTCGTTCCCCTGCCTCTGCCTCTCCAAGCGCTGGCTGATGGCAGCCTGGAAGTCACACCACTGCTCCTTCAGCGGCCTCATGCAGAGCACGCACACCACACAACTGCGCGCGCTGTTGACTCTTCCGACGTCCACGAACGCCCCCCCCCCCCCCTGAAGCAAGCAGCCCGCCC